ATTTTAGCGATGACTCATCTGAACACTTCTGATTGGCCACTGCATTCATAAGCTCAACAGCATCGTGTGTGATTGGTTATAATGCGCGGCGCTGTAAAAACGCGTCTGGCTCAGCCCAGCCAGCGAACGCAGATTTGAATTTAGCAGCTGATGATATGACGCACTGAACGATTTAATCATGCTGGTGTGATTGTATCAAATATAGAAAATATTATTTAGGCTATTTTTTTGTCTTTTGGAAGCTGCATTTAAAATCCACTTGGCTCAAAAATCTGAGGGGGCGCACGTGCCCCCTCACTTTGAATGGGCATGACGCCTCTAGCCAGAGGGTAAGTAAATTTTCAGCAAATTTTCAATTTTGGGTGAACTATTGATTTAAAAAATGTTAATGATCTAAAGAAACAATTAGGACTGGATTCAGAAGTTACTCCTGATCTTCTGCAGGTCATATTGGAGAGCTTCAGAGGAGAGCCATCAGCAGATGAGGTTTACCAGCGGCTGCTAAATTTTGTGAAAGTTGAGAAAGTTCTGTCAGCTCAAACAGTCCTTACTTTGTTAGAACAGCTCAAAAGTTTAAATCCTGACCCAGGATCACTTTTGGAGGAGCAGGGAAATGAGAGCTGTCCCGAGCCAAAAGGTAAGCTGACCTGGGTTCAGTGAAAATGGGAAGTGTTGAATCATAGGGTAAAATGACTGAACATTTCGGGTAGAATTTGCTAGACTTTGAGTGACTGCATTTCCTCTTTACTTACAGATTCTGCAGCAGGTGTTCGGTGGTCTGGTGGGCTTTTAGACCATTTATCAGAACTATCTCATCACCTCTCTAGTGTCAACAACCTCTCAGGGCTTTTGACCAATGCAGTGAACAGATGTATAAATGAAGTGGAAAAAGAGGTATATATGTCCCTTACTGTTTGTTATATAGAACAATACAGCAGTACACTTTGATTATAATTTGATATATATACACTACCATTTAAAAGTTTGAGGTCGATAAGATTTACTGAATGTTTTAGAAAGTCTCTTTTGCTCACCAAGGCTGCATTTATTTAAAAAAAAACAATTCAGTAAAAACAATAATGTTGTGAAATATGAATACAATTTGAAATAGCCGTTCGCTATTTGAATATATTTTAAAATGTAATTTATTCCTGTGATGCATAGCTGAATTTTCAGCATCATTACTGCAGGCTTCTGTCACATGATCCTCTTCAGAAATCATTCTAATGCCGATTTTCTGCTCATATTATCAATGTTGACAACAGTTGTGCTACTTAATATTTTTGTGGAAAACATTATACATTTTTTTTTCACGATTCTTTAATGAATAGAAAGTTCAGAAGAACAGCATTTATTTGAAATAGAAATCTCGTGAGCAATTTAATGCATCCTTGCTGAATAAAAGTATTAATTTCTTTCCAACAAAAACTAACCCCAGACTTTTAAACACTAGTGTATGTGTCTGTTCTTCCTAAGGTAGTTCTGCAGTGCTGTTCTGCTCCATCCTCTGTGGAGGTGGTGGAAAGGTTGTTATGTAAACTCCGAGAGATGACCATAAGTGAAGAAACGTTTCTGATGCTGCTGCATGAGGTGAAGGAAAGCTCCTCAGATCTGCTTCAGCTTCTGGAGGCCCTGAAAGGCACAAGGGGTATGAACAGCAAAACTTGGCAACAGTGCCTCATCCGTTTCATTATACAGCATATTCCTTTAGCTAACACTTCTGATGACTGCTGCTTTGTCAGATAAAACAACAGAAGACAGCAGTGGGATGGATTTGTTGAGAATATATCAGAACAGACTCATAGAGCTGAATCTGAACCTCCAGCTCATCAAACAGAGCCTTAAAATGGGTCCAGATATGAATGCAAACGAGAAAGAGGTACCTGTGTTGCATTAATAATTGACTTCTGAAGTTTTACAGTGGATTCAATGCAAGGAAGCGGTTTTTAAATATATATATTTGTGTCCATTCAGCGTATTGAAGCTCTACTGGCAGAGACAGGAGATGCTGAGGTGGTTGGAAGGCTGATATCTGCAGCATTGGACGGTTCACTGCAGGCGGTGACTGTTTGGAGGCTTCTGCTGTGGACAGAGACACGCAGTCCAGAGCTGCGGCTTCTCATGCAGGAGGTCAAGGAGAAACCAAACGCTCAAAAACTTCTGCAAACCAGTGAGTGCCGAACAGCTTTTGAATCAACACACTGCTTTTAGTCACTACTCTGTAATTCACTGAAAGGATGAGTGTAAAGTCTGAAAAATGTTTCGTTTTTTAGGTAAATACATAGATGTGCTCTTCAAGCACAAATCACTCATTCTGGAAACAATCAGTGACATTACCCTGCTCGAACAAGGTTTGGATGCAATGGCTCATGGGACAGAGCAAGTTTCTGAGGTAAAAAAATGGAGGAAAATATACTAAATATTTTAATTAAATATAAATATTTTTGATGTTTTGGCCGCGGAAGCATGGTAGCGGGCTTTGTTTTGAACGCATTTCATTCCATGAAACGCTTATTCTTTCTTCTCATTTATTCAGGTAAATAATTGACCAACAAAAAATAATGTATTCCTGTGTGCTCAGGAAACATTTCTTATTAACGGTGTTGAAAACAGTTCTTAATATTTTTGTGGAAATGGTGACACAATTTTTTCATGATTCTTTGATGAATGGAAAGTTCAAAAGAACAGTATTTATATGAACTAGAAAACGTTTGTAACATTATATAATTGTCTTTCTGTCACTTTTGATCAATTTAATGTGTCGTAATTTCTCTCTCAAAAAAACAAAACATACTGATCACAAACTTTGGAACGCTAGTGTAATTTTGACGTTAGTGTATTAGTCTAAAATGCACAGATGAATATTTTTTAAAAATCTACTCGGGTACCTTTGTTTTAGCATTTTCAACATACTATAAATTAGAATAATAAACTACAGTAATTGCATACTGTTGTGTTTCCTACAGAATTTTGTTTTTGTGGTAAAGGAGCATAAGTACAGTATATAAAATAAAATACAACATTATATAACACTATTTTTGTGTGTCCCAGTTTCTCCAGAGCTGTCGGAGAGCCGATGGTGAGCTGGAGTCAGTTCAACAGACTGTGGAGAGAGTTTTGAGTCGTGACTCAGAGTTTGCCAGTTCACTTTGCCAGCTGCTGTCTGCCAACAAGCAGAACTTCCCACAGCTGAAAGACCTCAAACATACTGGTGGTGAAGGACCTTTCAGTACATAGAGATTTCTGTTCATATGATATGATAGTTTGGCATCACTTCTGAAAGCATCTGATGGAAAATCTTACACCTTTACATTTGATCCATATTCAAAACAGGGCCTCTGTCGGATTCTGACTGTCCTGCAAAATCTGAGGTTGAGGAAGATGGATCTACCGGCGCAGACTCTGAGGATGATGATGGAGAAGATTCCAAAACAAAAGGCAGAAGAAAGGCTGTTCCTGTGTTCTACAGCTGCGAGTGGTGTAATAAGACGTTTGACTTTAAGTGCCGTCTGATAAAGCATAAGAAAGGCTGTGCCCTCGCGCCGGGGAAGGAGCAGCGCTGCTCAGAGTGTTCAAAGGCGTTTCCGACACTCAAGAGCCTTCACCAGCACTGCATGGAAGTCCATGGCGGCCCTCCGGCTAAGAAGAAGAAAACAGAACTAGTACCATGTGACATGTGCGACAAGACTTTCAAACACTCTTCAGGTATACGATGATCCTTTTCAAGACTTTAAAACACTGGCTGTTAATGTATGCGCTCCAGAAATGTTAAGCTTTGGTGCTCATACAGGTGACGCAGATTCAAGGCCAGCCTGCAACAGGGTCTTCATCACATTCCTCTTATAAATAATGATTTAGTGCCTCTCTCCATTACGATGTCAAAATTTCTTGTTTACTTAATTGGGAACTTGAAGCCATTATTTTAATTAAATTTGTAATTAGTAGTATAATAATATTTATATTAATATTTAACTTTAATAACAACAACAACAACGATTGTTGAAGTTAAATATAATAAAAATTATTTTTATTATCATATTACAAATTTAATCATAATAATAATAATATTTGTAATAAGTAGTATAATAATATTTATATTAATATTTAACAAATAACAACAATAATGATTATTAAAGTTAAATATAATTAAATATTTTATATTATATTTATGTAATAATATAAAATATTTAATTATATTTAAATATTTTATATTATTATATTTATATTACAAATGTAATAATAATAACAATAAAATACTAATTATTATTACTATGGTAAATAATAATATAAATATTGTTATATTGTCAATTATGAATGGAATATTAATAATACTAATATAATGAAACTAATTAATAATTAATCATATTAAGCTAATATGTTATTGAAAACACTAAATATTATGTTATTGATTATTAATTAAATGATTATGATGATGATGATAATATACACTATTATTAGTATTAGTATCATTGTTAGTATTATTATTAGAATCATTATTATTAATTAAATAAATAAACAAGTGTTTTCATTTGCATATTACTTTTTGCAAAAGTATCAAAATTGGAATCAAGTATTATAATTGTACTGGTATAAAATGTTGAAATGTGAAAACACTACATCTCCTTTATCTCTGTAAATTCAAACATGCAAAAGTCCAAAATTACAATAAAAAAATCCCAATTATTTGGTTTTGTAAAGGTCTGTTGGTTTATTTTTAGACATAAAATGGACCTTAGACACCGATCGTTCTTACGTCAGCACTGCTTTATGCATTCCGTGCTTATATCTTTCAGGCCTTTTGTATCATAAACGCACGGAACATTTCGAGGAGAGGCCATACGCGTGCGAGGAGTGCGGGGCGAAGTTTGCTGCCACCTCGTCTCTGAAGAACCACATGCGTCTACACATGGGAGAAAAACCCTTCCACTGCAAACACTGTGACATGAGCTTTTCTGTGGCCGCCGCTCTCTCCTACCACACCAAGAAGAAGCATGCTGAGGGTGCGATGGTTCAAATGCTTTTTGTGATTTTTATATCATGCTTTGATGTGAAAACCAACATGACAACCTTGCAAACTTCTGCATTTGCAGGTAAAATGTACTGCTGTCAGTACTGCTCGGCCACATTCGCGCAGTCCATTGAACTGACGCGCCACGTCCGCACGCACACGGGAGACAAACCGTATGTCTGCAGGGAATGCGGCAAAGGCTTCAAACAAGCCAATGGGCTGTCCGTCCATCTGCAGAACTTTCATAGTGAGCACATCCACAAGAGTCACATGATGTATCTCACTCTCTAATAAACACAAACTCAACTAGTGACATGTTATCTGTCCCATCAGACATTACAGAACCACTTGACTGCCAGAAGTGCCGGGTGAGTTTCTCTTCTCTGGACGAACTCCGACAGCACATCCAGGAGGTGCATCCGAAAGAGCTGCACCAATGTCCCGAGTGCAGCAAGATCTTCAACAGCGAAGCCAATCTGGAGAAACACATGAACATCCATAACGGCAACAAACCTTACAGCTGCAAGACGTGTAAAAAGTCCTATCAGGTAAGAACATCACACTTCATCTGTTGAATGATACACTATTTCTCTCCAACAGAAAACTATTTCAGCGTAATTTGCTTAGAAGGACAATGTTTGTGCATAAAACAAGCAAGCACTGTGACCCCAAAATGTAGTTTGACACTTAAAACTACACATAAAAATATATAAATATAATTGCATTAGATACAAAATTATCGAACCCAGTGGCATTTATTTTCAATTTATGTTTATGATATTAGCAGACACTTTTATACAGAGTAAGAGGAACAAAAGCAATTTGTCAAAGAGACAACAAATAAACACACACAAGCACACTTTTCAAGCAAAACATTTATATTATATTGTTATATACATTAGATTTTTAGAGTAGATTTTTTTTTGTCTTTGAAAAAAAAAAATTCTCACCAAGGCTACATTTATTTGATCAAAATGCAGTAAAAGCAGTAATATTATGAAATATTATTATAAGTTAAAATAATTGTTTTCTATTTTAAAACATTTAAAAATGTAATTTATTCCTGTTATGCATAGCTGAGTTTTAAGCATCATTATTCCAGTCTTCAGTGTCACATGATCCTTCAGAAATTATTCAGATATGCTGATTTGCTGCTCAAGAAACATTTAAAATATTAAACATAATAGTGATACTTAATATTTTTGTGGAAACCTTGATACTTTTACATAATCTAATACAAAAATATCTAAATATATTGTTAGTTCAAATATTTTTATTTCATTTATTTATTTAAAAAATAATAATAATTTTGTCTCTTTTTCTGTTTCAGACGCTCTCTGGTCTGTGGTACCACAATCGTACGGCTCACCTTGAGAGCGCCTCTGCCCAGGGCAGCAAAGCCATTAAATCTCTGCTTCAGTGTGACAAGTGTGACAAGACATTCAGCAACCAAAATAGTCTGCTAAAACACCAGATAACCAATCACACAGGTAAGAAGTGAACACAGATCCTAGCAAATTAGATACTGTTACTGTTAGTTGCAGTGTACTAGTATTGATCGTGTTTTCAGAAGTGCGCTTGTGGAAGTGTGTGAACTGTGACAGAACTCTGACGAGCGAGCAGGAGCTGCAGCAGCACGTGTGCAGCGGTCAGTCGAGTCAGACCGGCTCTGTGTTCAGCTGTATGGTCTGCTCTCTCCACTTCCCCTCTGAGCCCGAGTTCCAGCAGCACTTCCTGTCCAAACATCTGCAGGTCATGCAAGAGGAAGCACAGACGCAGGCCCCCAGTGCTCAAACGGTGACGCCCCAAACCTTTCACAATGTCCCATATGTCCAAAAATCTCTCATATTTAAAATGTGGAAAGTGAAATCAGTGAAATGCCAAAAAAGGTCAATTTTCAAGACTTTGTCACATCCATTTTATTTTTTGTAATTTTAAAATTAAGTATTTATGTATTATTTATTTATGTGGTTTAAGATTAATACTGTAGTATTTTTGTGGAACATATACATTGTACATCAAAATATTTAATATTAAGATCATACCGTTTTCCATGAATTCCATCTGTTTTACTTAAAGGTGCTGTATGTAACTTTTTGACTGTACCAAAACATAAAAACAACACCATAATATATTCGCAGATATTTCGGAAACATGCCAAGTTCACATACTTGTTTCTCCGAAAAACAATGCTAAAGCCAGTTATTCTTTGTAAATGTGCATTATGTGTCGGAATGCCTGTTTTTGTTTTGGTCTGTGTGATTCCGAGCACTGTCAGTTTAACCAATAGTATTTCGACACCCGGGGTTGCCAGAGAGCGGAAAACAGCGTATCGCAGCCATGGAAGCTAGCAAATGAACTGGGTCTGACATAGCAGATTCTAGCCGACCTAAAAAGCCTCGGCATCAATCTAAAAACCTCTAAGACCAGAGGCATGTTAAAACGAGGATAAATCAACTCATCAATTTACCGTGTGGCTTCCATTGTCAATTGCCCTCGTTTTCGTTTCGTGTCCTCAATCTGACAACTCGCTGCCTGGAGCAGTGTTGCCAGATTGGAAATGTCCAAGTATTGTACCAGAAATTCAAAATTATCGTATTTTTGGAAGAAAATTATGGTACACGAGTCAAACGTTCAGAATACACCTATTTATCTAGATGTTACAGCTATTTATCCTTTTCAGCACTCATTTTCAATACTTTATTGCTAAACTATCGACCTCAGCTTTGAAAAAAAAAAACTGACCTAAATGCTGCAGGAACATTAACTTGTGCTCTTGAGAGAGAGTCATTCTCCACGATGATTGGTCGAGAAGGCGTGAGATGAGATTAAACACAACACGTTCAAGTCTCACAATCATGAAGGTACACGTACAGTAGGATCCACACAGCTAGATCAAGGAGTAATATTATAGAAGCCCTATGATTACAACGACTATCATTTGGTGTCACAAAATTCTGAAATTATGGTACATTATGGTATTATTGATCGTACATCGTACAGAGGTCAAAAGTATGGTACAAATACATATAATTATTGTACGTCTGGCAACACTGGCCTGGAGCGTCGCGTCTGAGGAGGAGGGGGCGGGAGAAACAATATTTTGAATTTGGACTGCAGTACCCATTTCAACCGCCAGCTGTCGGTATTACATACTGCACCTTTAATGATGAAATAATATTTCACTACAAAAATAATTATAATATACACTTAAAGTATTAGTGTTATTATTAGTATTATTATTGGTGTTATTATTATTATCAATTAAATAAGTGTTTTCATTCGCACATTATTTTTGTTATGATAACAAAATTGGTATAAAGTATCATAAAATATTGGTATTCCTATCGACTACTGAAATGTTGTGAAACACTATCTCCAAAATATTTATAAAACAAAACATGCCAAAGGCCAAAAATAAAAAAAAATAAAATAAAAAATCGGTATTCACTCAATTATTTACTTTTTTAGGTTTTTAACAGAAAATGGCTTCCCTGTCGATGGTTTTTGTGGCTATTTCCAGGTGATTCGGTGTGAGGATGCAGCCGGTCAAGAGCCGGAGCAGGTGATTAGCCTCGACCAGTCCCGGATTGTAGGGTCACCGCAGGTGTTTGTGGCTCTGGGTGATCAGCAGGAAACTGCCAGCGGCTCTGGAATCGTGACCGTCAGCATGGAGGATCTACTGAACGGCACGGTCACACTCATCTGTGAAGAGGGCCAGTGAACTCTAGGCCACACGCGGCTTTATGATCATGACATTTCTGAGGAGTGCTGAGGTTTCTTTTTACACTGGATTACACATGTTACCAAAGGCCTTCAGACCATGTCATTTTACCAGTCATGATACAATTTTTTTTGTACAAAAATGAATATGATCTTTAATGAACGCAGGCTTCAGTCTCTGGGTCACTTGATTGGTTTTCAGGCTAAGCATACACAGGCATACAAAATCCATGTTAAAAATAGCTCAAGATGACGTCAGTCACTTCAGTGCAGTCTGAAACTTTTTTTGATTGGATTTCATTATGAACGATTTATTAAAATTGTTCTGACACAGGCACAAATGGATTTTAAATGAGAAAAGTCATTTGAATTTGTTTCTAACACATCTACCTCCGATCAAGCATCATGTACAGAGATGATTTTTGGTTCTGATGGACATTGATAAATGAGACTTTGGACTGTGTTAAAATGATTGTTTTTCTGCTAAAAATAACTTCTGTAAAATATTTTGTGACCAACACGACTACTGTTTAGCGTTTCATTTCTGCAATCTGATGAATGCAATTTTAAGATAAGAAGTTTGTCTGAGAAAAAATAAACTTTGTATAAATGGCAAAAAATAGAATGATTTTTTTTTTATAAGTATGACATAAGCAGGTAGAACATGGCGAGTCTTTTCATAAAGTAAGCTTAAATGACAATGTTTATTTACAGAAATTCACAAAGCATCAAGTAAAAACAATCATTTACTGTTTATATGAAAGACCACACCAACCCTCAAATACATTTCATACAATGTAGAGTAAAATATTTAAATATATAGTTTTTAGTTGATATGCCAATAATTCATAGACAACCCCGAGTCGATTTTTACATTCATGAGTGTAGCTTTAAAATCTTAAAACCTGACCACATTGTGCATTTCCAATTAAAAAAAAATTCAACTGAACACTCAACAGAAAATTGCTCTGTCAAAGTAAAACCAGTCTGAATTAAACTGTAATTCATCATGATCCAATCTGACTCCAAGATACAGCACATAACAATTACAACAGTTGACTGTTAGTATGGAGTACATAAATAATCCAGACATAAATAAACACAAGACAAACAAATAATCTCTAGTTTTCATGTGCCACATAATGCAATGAACTATGCTGGTTCTGACTTTTCAAATAAAGCTTTGAAAGCAACAGGTGCTCACTTTAATTTGCTTATTTTACTGTCCAGATTTGATATGCATAATATATTAGCAATTTTTAAATTATGCATATTTGGCTGATATTGGATGCAGATAATATCAAGGCTCATATTAAGAAATTAAAGCAGAAATTCTTGTAAAATTCTAGACTGAAATTTTAATAATAGTTTTAATTTGTTACTTGTGGATTATTGTAATGTTTTTATCAGCTGTTTGGACTCTCATTCTGACGGCACCCATTCACTGCAGAGCATCCATTGGTGAGCAAGTGATGTAATGCTACATTTCTCCAAATCTGCTCCAATGAAGAAACAAAATATTGGATGGCCTGAAGGTAAACACATTTGAGCAAATTTTCATATGTGTGTGAACTATTCCTAAAAAATACACACAAAACAGTTATTGGCTATAATAAAAACAAATATGGGTTATTACAAATTTCTCATTGCATTACTAGTCCAGACAAAAAAAAAAAAAAGGTCAAAATAACTTTAATTTTTATGTCCTGTTGTTCATGTCGGTATCATACAGCCAGTTCTGTGGATGAAGGCACACAACCAAATACTGCAACATGAACAAACTCAATTACAACACCCTAAAATATTGCAAAACTCACACAGACGGGGTTGAAAGAAGAGAAGAACACGACAATGATGTATATAACATTTCCGAGCTTACTGTAATACAATAAGCTTATTCTTGCAATGCAAACGGCATTTTGTTCATTTTCCCAGAGTGCCGCAAGGCTCCCTATTCAGCAGTGCATAGTAACATAACACCAAAAAACAGTTCTCAATTTATCACATAAAATTCGTCCTGCGCAAAGCACAGACAGTTGCTTGTATTAAGTTAAAAAAATATGTAAATATAGAATTACTCATTTATAATGTTAAAGCAAGTCCTCAAGTGCAGAATATCAGTAGTCAACATACATAAATGTGCACTAAGGGCAAAATAATTTGATAGTGAGCATCAGTACACCAGACTCACTATGAAGGTCAAGCATTCTTCCTGTTTTTAACTAAACTTGTGTAAATACTGAAAATATGCAACTATATTTTCAGGGTTGAGGCCTTGGAAACAAGAACAATTGATAAATAAAATCCCAATTTGAATCTTAAAGAAATTACCTGAGGTTTCAGAATAAATCACAAGTATTCACTAGATCATGTGATCATAAACAGCAAATTTACTTCCTTAAAATCACTATATACACTTTCTAACTGTCTATAGTCACTCAATTTCATTGGAAATACTATATGATCACTCCTCTTACCGAAAGTGTACTTCAAGGGCACAAAAATGCTGTTTGGGCTGCGTCTGAAATCGCATACTCACTGAGGAAGTAATTATTTTGAAGTATGTTCTATATAGTATGAATGTAACCCGGACGTCATTATCATGTGACCTACCAGAGTCAGTTGCCTTGCTTCATTGTCATTCACAAATTGTCTCCCGTGGCCTCATGGGATAGTAAAGTGTCCATCAGATGCGCAATTCAGAATCTTGCCCGAAGTAGTAGGTCACCCGGGTACTTTTGGCCTACGGTATTATGAAAACTGTGGATTCAGACATACTACTCACATACTGTTTTCACCTACTATAAAGTAGGCCAGTATGCCATTTCGGATGCGTCCAAAATCGAATAATTCCCTACTATATAGTATGTGAAAAACAGTACATCAAAAGGTGTAGTACCTACATCAAATTCAAATCTACTAGTATCTACTCGAACAGTGTGCGATTTCAGACGCAACATTTTATTGTCTTATAACCATAGACTGTATAAAAACATGGACATAGTGTCCGTGACGTCACCCGTAGACTTCCGAAGACCGTTTTTGAAACTCAAAAGTGGGCGGAGGCGGCCGTCGCCATCTTGGCAGCGCGTCACTCCCGGATAATCGAAAATGGGCAAAGAGGCGGGAGCAGGTTGCTGAAGCCACGCCCACCTAGCTCGACGGTGGTGACAGCAGTGGCAATCCACCTATCACTCAAGTGGCCACGCCCTTAATTATGCAGAACTTTAAGGCTTAATATAATTTAAACAGATGAGTTATAAAAAAATTCACCCCCCTCACAGTTGTCATGAAGGGCAAAATTAGCTATATAGACCAAAATCATTTTTTGAACCAGGCTGTAAACGTTTTTTTCTGCTGTAAAGTTGGGCATTTTAACATGGGGAGTCTATGGGATTGACTCCCTTTTGCAGCCAGCCTCTAGCGGCCAGTTGATGAATTACAGTTTAAGTCACTTCCTTGTTGGCTTCATGAGAGAGAGGGGGAGGTTGCCGCTTGCTTATAACACAATATTGCTCTTGGACTTTATACTGACCCCTACTGGCCTGGATGCATTTTTATCCTTTACCATTTTTCATAGAAAAGCATCTCTATTTCAGCTGCTTGTATCTCTACAAAACTGCAAACACATAAAGTGTGCAATTTGGGACAAAGTCGAATCTTATGTGAGTGTACATCATTTAAAATGTCAAAATTTGTGCTGTTTTTGATGTCATCATATCCTTAGCGTAGTGTTGCTTCTAAAGCCTACTATAGTCCAGATCCCTAAATAGGCTCTAATTTGAGACTTTAGTTTTCAGCTAGTAATCTTCTTTTTGAGCAGGAAGGCACTGGTGATTTGGTTCATCACCACCAAGGCGGGAAAAAGTGGGAGGAGTAGGAATATATACCAGATTGTGCCTCTTACCAATGCCTGAAACCAGTCTGTAAACATGGCTGACATGACTGTGATGGTGGCCAGCAGGTAGGCCACCAGACCGCAGGTGGCATGATACAGTCTCAACCGAGGAAACGAGTGAGTGCTGATGAGTTTGGGGAAGAGGAGAAAGACGCCACAGATCGCCTGCAGCACGGTAGCGGCCATTGTAGCGACTCCCAGCAGGCTGTGCCAGGAAGTGAAGTGCGGATGCTCCTTTATGTTCTTGCTGGCCACCATGAAGCTGAATCCTGTAGCTCCACACACCAGCAGCACAGCCTGGAAAAACCAGTGCAGACGGACCTTCCACTTACGTGATTTGAAGCAGAACGGGCTGCCGTCGGCGGAGAAAAGCAGGATCCCTTGTGTCATGCACAGACAAAACTAAAACAGAAATAGTAAGGCTTTGTAATAATTTCATGAAGAGGACACATAAAACAGGTACATAAAACAGCATTGTTCGATGTATATAGACAATGTTCACAATTTAAAGTTTCTGAGTTACTGAGACTGGGCAGCAAAATAGGTGATTTCTGCAAACAAACAAAAAAGATTATGATGTCACAACCATGAGCACTTGCATACTTAGTATGCAGTATGTATACTTTGTTCAAAAGTTTGGGATGGCTTTTTAAATGTTTATGAAAAAGTCTCTTAATTTTTTATTTATTAATAATTTCAAGGCTGCATTTAGTTCATCAGCATACAGTAAAAAAACACTAATGTTGTGAAGTATGATCACTTTTTAAAATAACTGTTTTGTATAAATGTAATTTATTCCTGTGATGCAAAGCCTAATTTTCAGCATCATTACTCCAGTCTTCAGTGTCACATGATCCTGATTCAGAAATCATAAATATGCTGATTTGCTGCTCAGGAAACATTTATTATCAATGTTAAAAACAGTTGTGCTGTTTAATATTGTTGTGGAAACCGTGATGCATTTTTCTTCAGAATTTTTTGCAAAAATGTAAAAGTCTTTACTGTCATTTTTGATCATTAATGCCTCTTTGCTAAAAATAAATTAATTTGTATGAAAAAAAAAAAAAAAAAAAAACTTTTGAATGGTGGTGTATATGATGACTTGCTCTTGATTGACTGTTCTGTATAGAGAGAGAAAAAAATCATAGACTATTTCCTATACTGTCCATGAGTCAAAATCTGAGACTGACCTCTGTCAGGTCATCTCACATTATTAGTACAGAATGTGTTATCTTTGTCATCAAGGTGAATGTAATCAGATTCTGATGGTAAAGCAGCTGAGGATAATTCCACTGTCTTTGTGTTTCACCACACTCAATTCATTATTTACAAAAGACATATTTTATTCATTCCCTGAGACGCTGAACATCACAGAGACACAATGCATTATTAAAAACTCCAGGAGTGATTAGAAAAAAATAAATGTCATCCTTTTATAAACCTATGGCTGAAAATATGATACATTGTATAATATTTTATTGTGTGAATGTATAAAAACTTACCCCAAGTGACATGCAGACAGGATGCCATGAGAAGAGACCTGAAATTAATAAAAAAAGTAAAAATAGTAAAAAAAAAGTAAAAAAGTAAAAGACAAATAGGGATTTTTAATATTTGTAAATACTTTGTTAATTTTCATTTTATCAATACCAAAACATATATGCTTAATGTCATTAGTTCATGGTAATATTATAGAATTGCCATGGCACATGTCTGAAAACATAGTAATACCATGTTTTGTTTTTTGTACTTTCATACATACTCCAAAATACTATCATGCCCTACTATACTATTCTACTATATATACGAAATACTCCAAAATGCTATTAAATTACCATGGTACAGCCTGTCAAAAACAAGTACAAATGTCCAAAACCATTGTAATATCACCGTACTTGGATATATACCATGGTAATGACTGATTATTGTATTCATAACCCATGGTACGCCAATGTACTTTAAACAGTATCCTACAATTGCAACAGTACACTTCCAAAACACAGTACTGCCATGGTAACATGTCTGAACACCAAGGTACTTCTTATTTTGTTATAGAAATGGCTACTTTTGGAGTAGAAATGACAAGGCCCTTTCATTTCTATATATTCATACATATTCATAAATCAATGCAGGTCCATATTTGCTACTAATCTGTCAGGCACTTTTATGTGTTTATATGAGTTATAAAAGTTTATAAAACATTGCCAATAACACCATAAATTGCCACAGTACTATCATATTCTTGGACATGTACCATGGTATTTTTTTTTTTAAGTACCATGCAAATATCACTTGAATTTCCACGACATCTGATACCATCACTATACCATGGTACTTTTTTGTAAAGGAAACATCTAAAAGTGGCGCCGTATATCTATCTGCATGTACATAGAGCTGTAAAAATGTGCAAAAGAAGTGAAAAGACTCACTTGTTCCTGGTCTGGACAGTATGGATGTGAGAATGACCAGGCCGAGTGAGATGATGTGCGCAGCGACCACAGCCAGTCTGCGCAGCCACACATAGAGCCAGAACTCCCGCATCCCGAGCCCCTCTCCCACCGCACTGTACTCAACATCCAGAGACGAGCGCATCCCCCTCGCCATTCCTGATAGTTAATTCGCAACTCAGATTTTTACATTTACGCCAAAATTACTCCATAGAAAACGTATCTCAGGTGTCATTCCTACTGAGCTTCACAAAGCCTGATTTTTAGATCCGAAACGCATATATATTTCAACTTATGAACTCTCTCGGTTATAAAATTAAACTTGCGGTAGGAAAGTTGTTAGTCTTGTTCGGTGCCATTTTCGTGTGACAGTGATACTTGGAAATGCATTTCCTGCATAGGAATCCTACTACGATAAAGGATGGGCTCTTAATATTCAGGAGCCATGCAGTTGCGATTGGAAGGTTACCAAGCAACGAGGGCACGACCACATTAATATTCAATAGCCAAGCGTTCGTCATAGGTGAGCAGCCTTCTTTATATTCAAAGTAAACACGATACGTAACTGCAATCTACTTAATTATTAATGAGCTAAGCTTCTGGACAGGACAGTACTTAGGCATGCGCAAAACATTTTAAAGTGAGAGAAACAGAGCTGGGAGATATCTAATGACGAACAGCTGACCCGTTTTCACGCACAAAACCAACTTTTGTCATTTTTGTACAATTGGCAAAAAATAAAAAAATAAAAAAGGTGTGGTGCTCTTGTGTAATGAGTTCCACATCGCTGACAAACGAATTTCCATTATTTTTCCAGTCCTTCATGATTACTTGATAAGGATTTAAAAATTTTTTTAATAGAGATTGCAGTCAGTAAGAGCTCAAACATCACTACAAAATAACTCCTAATAAATAAATTTTTAAAAAAATGCAGCAAGCACAAATAACTGAGTAAAATACCACAAAAATGCACACAACATATATATTAGTCAACTATTTAACAAAGCACTGAATGAAATATACATGCATGCTTTGTGAGGTTTTTTTTTGTTTTTTTTGTGAGATTTCATATATTAAAATAAAAAAAGTTTAAGACACTGAGAGAATGAGAATTTATTTTTCCCTAAAACGTCATATTTACCTTTGAGGATTTTTAAAAATCACTGTAATAAGACTGGAAAATGTATGCTTAAATGTCATAATGAAAATAAAATGTCACAATGACAGGTTTCGTCAAATTCACCCATTTATCAATTAAAAAAAAATTCATAATAATAAAAAAAGACCTGGTGCTGAGTATAAAGAATATTTTAATCCATTTTATAAACAACATTTAGGTAGCAGCATTATTCAGTAGATTCTGAGGTATTTTCTGAATTCACAGAGAAATTCACTCCCCCATCTCATTACATACACCTCCACATACATACACACACATACACAAACACACACACATTCATAATAGCTAAACATGTGCGCACACACACATACACACAATTCAAACATGCGGAGTCCTGCGTCCATAGTTCTATATGGTAGTTCGTAGGGCTCGCTCTTTTAGTGGCTTGTAAGGCTGGCACTCTCAGTGGTGCAATTTTGGCTGTTGAAAAAGGCAACAGAGAACAATTAATATGATAAACAATGTTAACATTAATGTTTGTCTAATATTATACCCATCTTCAGTGTCACATGATCTTTCAGAAATCATTCTAATATGCTGATTTGCTGCTCAAGAAACATTTCTTATTATTATCAATGTTGAAGAAAGTTGTGCTGCTTAATATTTTTGTGGAAACCGTGATGCATTTTTGTTTTAGGATTCTATAATTAATAGAAAGAACAAAATAATATTTTTGTGGAAACTGATCATTTTTTTAAAAATCCTTTGAATAGTAAGATTACAAGAACAGCATTTATATTTTAGTAACTATCAATCTTAAGCAACTTTGCTGAATAAAAGTGTTAATTTCTTAAAAAAAAAAAACTTTTGAACAGTAGTGCGTGTTTCTCATCACCTTTTTACAATGCAGATCCTTTTAAGATCCACAGAATTCACTCTTATTCATATTAACATGAACCCTCATCTTGTGTGTAATTGTGTTTAATTTGGCTATGCTTTCAGAACTGGAAAAAAAATTAGGGATGCTCCGATCCGCCTTTTTCGCCTCCGATACCGATTCCGATACCTAGGGTTCGGTATTGGCCGATACCGATCCGATACCAGTGAAGTTTTTTTTCCCCATTTAAATAAATGTAGAATTTATATATCTCTGTGTGGATCTGATAAATATTCTTTCACAATCTAGTAGATACAGACTACTTCATTATAAAGAAAAATAAAATAAACAATAAATATGAAAAAATATAGGCCTATGTATATTTATAATCTATGACAAAATGTTACACATTGCTATTTGTATTATAAAATCCATTCATCAAAAACATTCACAACCCTCTATGGACACCTATGGCAATTGAATAGCCATTGGCTAGTAAATTTTTGTGTTTACTCGCCAGACTGAAATACTATACTTACACACACATACATATATATATATATATATATATAGAACCATAAACTTAAGACTGGTGCTGGTACTTTTTTTGGTCATTCAGTGTTCCTGTACAAAATTTAAAAAAGAAAACTAACAATAATACTGATAAGATATATTATTATTATACGAATTCTACTAATAAGAACAATATAAAGCCACCAAGGATTAACGAGCTTCTGGATTCATGAATATTAATCAGGTTGGGTGCGTTCGCTCGAACTGATTTGCTGAAATCTAAACAGGGATGATAATAGGTGAGCGCCAGACAATGAGATTGTCGTTTGTGCATTAGTTCCGCCCACTGCCGGAAAACCCGGCATTTCTTAAAGCTGAAGAATTCCAAAGGAACTCCGTTATTTTGACAGGAAAATAAAACAAAGAATATCGTTTACATGTATCACATCAATTCTGCATGTTATGTAAGACTCTCTCGCTCTCTCTCTCTCTCTCACTTTGCGCGTGTGAGAGAAAGCGTCAGCGAGTCGTGCGCCTTCACACTAGAGTTTACGTTAC